AAATCCGGAGGATTTGGGGAAAATCAAGCGGTTTTGGGGAAAAACCCGAGGTTTTCGGGGATTTTAACTCACCGGGGTTGAGGCCGGGGGGGTTGGTCCAAAAGAAACGGTTTATGATATTTTTGATTCCTACTGTCGCTATTAATAAGTACGATAATAATCATGACAGTGATGACAATAATTGTAATTATCGGGAGTAATAAAAATAAAACATAATGTTAAAATAATGTAGCAGTATGATGTCAAAGAAATCTACTGGAATAAAATTGATGGTTTCTTTTAATTTTAATTTTAATTTTTTATTTAATTTTAATTTTTGTTTTATTTTAAATTTAATTTTTATTTTTTAGTTAATGTTAATGTTAATGTTAATGTTAATGTTAATGTTAATGTTAATGTTAATGTTAATGTTAATGTTAATGTTATTGTTATTATTATTATTATTATTCACCCTCTTATTTCTCTTTTTTACCCTCTTTTTTCTCATTTTTACAATTTTTCTCATTTTTACCATTTTTTCTCATTTTTACCCTCTTTTTTCTCATTTTTACCCTTTTTTCTCATTTTTACCCTCTTTTTTCTCATTTTTACCCTTTTTTCTCATTTTCACCCTCTTTTTTCTCATTTTTACCCTCTTTCCTCCTCATCTTTCCCACCTATTTTCCCCTCATATTTCCCATTTTTCCTCACATTTTCTGCCCTTTTCCTCTCATTTTTCCCACTTTTTCCTCTCATTTTTCCCACCACAATTTTCATTTTTCCTCTCGACTCACCCGCTCCTGCTCGGTCTCTGTGTCCCCCTCGCTGCCACCTTTCATTAGGCGGTAATTGGTATATTTCAATGAGAATAAATTAATTTTTAAAATTTTATATAATTTTTAATATCATCGAATCTTTTATGTAATATTATATTTTATATCATATATTTTAGATAATATTTTTGAAATATTTTTTTAAAGCAAATAGGGTTAGGGTTAGGATCATGGTTGGGGTCAGGGAATATTTGGAATATTCAAATGAGAATTCTTTGAATATTCAACATGGAATTTATTTTTTAAACGCAAATTTTCCAAAGGGTTCGGGTTGGGGTTTGCCTTAGGGTCATTGTCAGTGCCAGGTTAAGGTTCGGGGATAATTGTCATATTAAAATGGCGACAATTTGAATATTTAAATTTGAATTTGAGTTAGGGTACGGCTTAGGGTCACGGTCATATTTAGGTTTAGGTTTAAAATTTGAGTTAAAGTCGGGATTAGGGTCAGGACCCTCGTCAATCACAGGGTACGGTTAGCGTATAATTAATATTCAAATGCTAACGATTTCAATATTTAATGATGAATTGGGATTAGGGTTACAGTCTGATTTATAATTTGGTTTAGGGTCCTCGTCAGTGGCAGGGCGAGTTTCGGTGTTAATTGTAATATTAAAATGGGAATATTCTGAATATTAAATTCTAGTTTGGTTTAGGGGGAGGATTTTTAGGATCAGGGTTTGGTTTAGGGTTGGTCTTAGTTTTAGGATTATGGGGTGCTTGGAATATTAAAATGTGGGTAATTGGAGTGTTTAAGAAGAAATTTAATTTTTTAAACATGAATATTCCATATATCCCTCCCTGGTGGTTCCAAGCTCCCACAGGCCGGATCCCCAGAGAGATCCCGTCCGATCCCGGCCTGAAAAACGGGAAAAATTCCCGGAAATTTGGGGGGGGAATCCGGGATGGGATCCAGGATGGAATTTGGGATGGAATCCTGCAGGGGATCCCGCAGGGAATTCCGGATGGATAGAGATTGATAGAGTTTGATAGAGTTTGATTGAGTTTGATAGAGGATTTGGGATTGAGATTTGGGATTTGGGATTTGGGATTTGAGATTTGGGATTTGGGATTTGGGATTTGAGATTTGGGATTTGGGATGGGGATTTGGGGATTTGGAATTTGGGATCAGGATTTGGAATTTAGGATCGGGATTTCAGATTTGAGGATCAGGATTGGGATTTGGGATTTGGGATTTGAGATTTGGGCTTTGAGATTTGAGATTCAAGATTCGAGATCGGGAATTTGGGGATTGGGGAATTTGGGATTTGGGGATTTGGGATTTGGGATTTGGGATTTGGGCTTTGGGATTTGGGATTTGAGATCGGGAATTTGGGGATTGGGGTATTTGGGATTTGGGATTTGGGATTTGAGATTTGGGATTTGGGCTTTGGGATTTGGGATTTGAGATCGGGAATTTGGGGATTGGGGTATTTGGGATTTGGGGATTTGGGATTTGAGATTTGGGATTGGGATTAGGATTTGGGATTGGGGATTGGGGATTTGAAATCTGGAATTTGGGATTGAGATTTGGGATTTGGGATTTGAGATTTGGGATTGGGATTGGGGATTTCGGGATTGGGATTAGGATTGGGGATTTGGGATTTGGGATTTGGGATTGGGGATTTGGGATTTGGGATTTGGGATTTGAGATCGGGAATTTGGGGATTGGGGTATTTGGGATTTGGGGATTTGGGATTTGAGATTTGGGATTGGGATTAGGATTGGGGATTTGGGATTGGGATTGGGATTGGGGATTTCGGGATTAGGATTGGGGATTTGGGATTGGGAATTTGGAATCTGGAATTTGGGATTGAGATTTGGGATTTGGGATTTGAGATTTGGGATTGGGGATTTCGGGATTGGGATTAGGATTGGGGATTTGGGATTTGGGATTTGGGATTGGGGATTTGGAATCTGGAATTTGGGATTGAGATTTGGGATTTGGGATTTGGGATTTCCCACTTTTTTGTTTCTTTCCCCATTTTTCCACTTTCCCATTTCCCCTCAGTTTTCCTCATTTTTCCCTTTCCCCCCCATTTTCCCCTCCTTTCTCCCGTTTCTCCCCATTTTTCTGAATTTTCCCCGATTTTCCCCAATTTCCCCATTTTTTCCCATTTCCCCCCATTTCCCCATTTTTCCATTTCCCCATTTTCCCAGATTTCCCCAATTTCCCCATTTTCCCCATTTCCCCCATTTTCCCATTTTCCCAGATTTCCCCAATTTCCCCATTTTCCCAGATTTTCCCATTTTCCCCATTTTTCTGAATTTTCCCCGATTTCCCCAATTTCCCCATTTCCCCATTTTCCCAGATTTCCCCATTTTCCCATTTTCCCTCAATTTCCCCTCATTTTTCCCAACCCTCCCCCTTTTTCCCATTTTTTCCCATTTTCCCCCATTTTTCACCATTTTCCCCATTTTCCCCCATTTTTCCCCATTTTCCCCACAGACCAAAAAAAAAAAAAAAAAAAAAAAAAGAGAGAGAAAGAAAATCCAAAAAAAGGCAAAATCCCGGGAATTTTATTGAATTTGGGATCCCCAGGTGAGCACAGGTAACCCCAGGTGTGTCCATCCGTCCCTGTCCAGGTGTGTCCATCATTCTCCAGGTGTGTCCATCCATCCCTGTCCAGGTGTGTCCATCCATCACTCTCCAGGTGTGTCCATCCCTGCCCAGGTGTGTCCATCCATCCCTGTCCAGGTGTGTCCATCCATCCCTGTCCAGGTGTGTCCATCATTCCCCAGGTGTGTCCATCCATCCCTGTCCAGGTGTGTCCATCCCTGCCCAGGTGTGTCCATCACTCTCCAGGTGTGTCCATCCATCCCTGCCCAGGTGTGTCCATCATTCTCCAGGTGTGTCCATCACTCTCCAGGTGTGTCCATCACTGTCCAGGTGTGTCCATCACTCTCCAGGTGTCCTGGGCCCACCCCAGGTGTGGCCATCACCTGTCCAGGTGCTTCTATTCCATCTCCAGGTGTCTCTATCCCATCTCCAGGTGTTTCCATCTCACTCCAGGTGTCTCCAGCCCATCTCCAGGTGTTCCTCTCACCTGCCCAGGTGTCTCTATCCCGTCTCCAGGTGTTTCTATCCAACTTCCGGGTGTTCCCCTCACCTGTCCAGGTGTCCTCACCTGACTACTGGGGGACCCAAAGTCACCTGTGGGGCTCACCTGGCCACTCCCACCTGTGGGTCTCACCTGTCCCATCTCACCTGCAGAGCTCACCTGGCCGCTAAAATTCTCACCTGTGGGGCTCACCTGGCTGCTCCCTTCATCCCCGGCAGAGCTCACCTGGTCACCCTCACCTGCAGAGCTCACCTGGCTGCTCACCTGTCCCTCCTCCTCTTCAGAGCTCACCTGTCCTTCTTCCCCTTCAGAGCTCACCTGGTCTCTCTCACCTGCAGAGCTCACCTGGCCGCTCACCTGTCCCCAGTCCCCTTCAGCACTCCCCTGGTCGCGCACCTGTCCTTCCTCACCTGATGATCTCACCTGTCCCTGCTCACCTGCAGAGCTCCCCTGGCTGCTCACCTGTCCTTCCTCCCCTTCAAAGCTCACCTGGCTGCTCCCTTCCTCACCTGCAGAGCTCACCTGTCCCTCCTCTTCACAGCTCACCTGTCCCTCCTCCTCTTCAGAGCTCACCTGTCCTTCCTCACCTGCAGAGCTCACCTGTCCTTCTTCTCCTTCAAAGCTCACCTGTCCTTCCTCCCCTTCACAGCTCACCTTTCCCTCCTCCCCTTCAGAGCTCACCTGGCCGCTTTCACCTGCAGAGCTCACCTGTCCTTCCTCACCTGCAGAACTCACCTGTCCCTCCTCCCCTTCAGAGCTCACCTGGCCGCTCTCACCTGTGTCTCCCACCTGTTCCCCCTCATCTGTAGCTCCCACCTGTCCTTCCTCACCTGCAGAACTCACCTGTCCCCCCTCCTCTTCAGAGCTCACCTGTCCTTCCTCCCCTTCAGAGCTCACCTGTCCTTCTTCCCCTGCAGAGCTCACCTGGCCGCTTTCACCTTCAGAGCTCACCTGTCCCTCCTCCCCGTCAGAGCTCACCTGTCCCTCCTCCTCTTCAGAGCTCACCTGTCCCTCCTCCCCGTCAGAGCTCACCTGTCCTTCCTCCTCTTCAGAGCTCACCTGTCCTTCCTCCTCTTCAGAACTCACCTGTCCTTCCTCCCCTGCAGAGCTCACCTGTCCCTCCTCTTCTTCAGAGCTCACCTGTCCCTCCTCCCCGTCAGAGCTCACCTGCCCCCCCTCACCCGTGTCTCCCACCTGTCCCCGCTCACCTGCCCAGGCCCCTCCCAGGTACCTGAGCACCTCTCCAGGTGGGCAGCGCCGCGCGGGCCGGGGGTGCAGCAACCCCCGCAGCATCTCCATCCCCTCGGCCCCCAGGCCCCGCCAGGTGCGCGGCGGCCGGGCCGCACCTGGCTCACCTGAGCGGCCGCCGCCCTGCCAGGTGCGGAAGCGGCGGAAGGCGGGGTCGGAGCGCTCAGGTGAGGCCCAGGGGAAGGTGCCGGTGAGCAGCGCGAAGAGCAGCACGCCGAACGCCCAGGTGTCCGCCGCGGGCTCCAGGTGCCGCCGCCGCGCCTCACCTGCGCGCACCTGCAGCAGCTCGGGCGCGCAGTAGGGCGCGGGGCCGCGCGCCGGCCGCACCTGCCAGCCCTGCACGCGCGTCAGGCCGAAGTCGCCCACCTTGACCAGGTGGCAGCGGCGGTCGAAGGCCAGGACGTTGTCCAGCTTCAGGTCGCGGTGCACCAGCGCGTGGCCGTGCAGGTAAGCCAGGGCCGAGGACACCTGGGCGGCGCAGCGCTTCACCTGCGGCTCCGGGAGGCCCACCTGGGGATGGGACATGGCGGGGTCACAGCTGGGGATGGGGACACAGCTGGGACACAGCTGGGACACACCTGGGACACAGCTGGGGATGGGGACACAGCTGGGACACACCTGGGACACAGCTGGGACACAGCTGGGGACGGGGACACAGCTGGGACACAGCTGGGACACAGCTGGGACACACCTGGGACACAGCTGGGACACACCTGGGACACAGCTGGGACACAGCTGGGACACAGCTGGGACACACCTGGGACACAGCTGGGTCACACCTGGGACACACCTGGGACACACCTGGGACACAGCTGGGACACAGCTGGGGATGGGGACACACCTGGGACACAGCTGGGACACAGCTGGGACACACCTGGGACACACCTGGGACACAGCAGGGTCACACCTGGGACACACCTGTGGATGGGGACACAGCTGGGACACACCTGGGACACACCTGGGACACACCTGGGACACAGCTGGGGTCACACCTGGGACACACCTGGGTCACACCTGGGGACAGGGACACAGCTGGGGTCACACCTGGGACACAGCTGGGGATGGGGACACAGCTGGGGTCACACCTGGGACACACCTGGGACACAGCTGGGACACAGCTGGGACACAGCTGGGGTCACACCTGGGACACAGTGACACAGCTGGGACACACCTGGGGATGGGGACACGGCGGGGTCACAGCTGGGGATGGGGACACACCTGGGACACACCTGGGACACACCTGGGACACAGCTGGGACACACCTGGGACACACCTGGGACACAGCTGGGACACACCTGGGACATACCTGGGACACACCTGGGACACAGCTGGGACACACCTGGGACATACCTGGGACGGGGACATGGCGGGGGTCACAGCTGGGACACACCTGGGGATGGGGACACAGGTGGGGTCACACCTGGGACACACCTGGGACACACCTGGGGACGGGGACACAGCTGGGACATACCTGGGACGGGGACACAGGTGGGGTCACATCTGGGACACAGCTGGGGATGGGGACACGGCGGGGTCACAGCTGGGACACACCTGGGACATACCTGTGGATGGGGACACACCTGGGACACACCTGGGACACACCTGGAACACACCTGGGGATGGGGACACACCTGGGACACAGCTGGGACACAGCTGGGGACGGGGACACACCTGGGGTCACACCTGGGACACA